TGGACTCTTAAACTCAAATGGGACATGGATGTCTGGGATGCAGATGACTCCCCACCTGTAGTCTCACTCCCTTCATTCAAGGATCCATTCAACGGACAATCATTAAACACCTGCTATGAGCTTTATCCAGGCTTGATGCAAACTGAGGGTTCTCATCCTCCACTTGAACTCTCCCCTTCTCTTGTATGTAAAAGAAAACCAAAATGGAAGCCCACCACTTAACAGGAGAGTGTGCTCCTGCAGACATTTCTGTTTTCTCTTTCCTGCTTGCCATGGACTTCCAAAGGCTTATTTTTATTCCCCCGACACTCTTCCTGTTTATCGTCCCATGTGAAACTATCTGTGTTTCAGAGCAAGGCTGCCTGGTGAAGATGACAGGGTGTGCCTGTCGTCCAGAGCAAGGGGGGGCCCCGGCGAGGCAGGGGGCGAGAGAGTAAACAAGTGTTAGTAAAGTTCTTGCCTGTTCCCAGTTCTCCCGCAATGTGCTCTGGAGAGCTGAATCCCAGGGCAAATATCAACATGCTCTCCAGCTCTGCCCCATATCCTATGATGTAACCAAGGTGAGGGGATATGTTTGCCTTCCTCCTCCTAATTACCCACCCCCTTGGTGAGAAAATGAGAAGAGAGTGAAGGTTGATCACAGTCTTGCCCTCTCACGAGTATGCCTGGGATCAGGATTGCCAACCCCCTGCAGAAACCCTAAGGCCGACGACAGGGAGGAGTCTGAGGCTTGGGTCAGCCCAGCACGGAGCAGTGGGGCCAAGGTAAACAGGCTGGGCCTGGGCCCCCAGAACCCTCTGCACACAGGAGATGAATCACAGAGCTTCTGGCCCAGCTGCAGGCTCGCACAGCGGGCTGCCAGGGAAAGCCCAGGCCAGCTAGGCCCAGGCCGCTCCTGATGGAGGCTGCAGGTCTTCCCCCCTGTGCCTCCCACTGCCATGCTAAAAGCACGGGGCAGGGGGCAAACACCAAAAGTCTCCCCAAGACAGCTGCTCCCCAGGACCCTCAAGCCCTCGGTACAGAAAGCAACTTCCCACAGCCTCTCTCTACACGTCCCCCTGGCTCACTTCTGAAGACTTCTCAGGTGTCATCCCACCACACTTATGCTTTGCTGGCCTCTTTGGGGTAGTAATTATCCTTATTTCCCATGTCAAAGGGAAATGAGGCCCAGAGCTGTGAAATTAAGATTGTTAAAAAATTCCTGCTGCCCTCTGCACTGCGTGAAGCAGCTGCACACACGGCCTGTTGCCCAGCCTGGCCAGGGATGCTCGGCCCCACTTCCCAGGTGAGGAACGGCAGCTCCGGGGAGAGGACGGGCCCAGAGACACACACAGACCAGAATCTGCTCCCTACCCTCCCGAGGATTTAGTTTACCTTCACTGGACCATCCAGCCTCCCAGGAGACCCTTCCACGAGGTTGGCCACTGGCACAGGCCTGGTGCCCGGGGGGGGGGGGGGGGGGGGGGGGGGGGG